TTACTATTTATTATATACGTAAATAACATAGATATAGGCGTAGACAGCAACAGTAGTAAATTTGCTGATGACACTAAAAGAGGGCATTTAATGTATTTAATGCATTTAATTAAATCTGACGAGGACTCCGCAAAACTACAGGAAGATCTAAACATATTTTTCGCATGGTCTGCAAAATGGCAGATGAAATTTAATGTGGACAAATGCAAAGTACTTAGTCTAGGAGATGGAAACAGAGAAACCAGATATCAATGAACAACGTCCTTATAAAGAAATCCTACTGTGAGAAAGATTAAGGAGTAATGATAACTTGGAATCTTAAACCAACTCAACAATGTGCATTTGCTCGAAACAAGGCTAACAATGTACCTGCATTCAAAGAAAGGAGTAATAGCAATAAAACTAATGAGGATAAACTATATCTTGCGCTTGTGAGACTTCACTTGGATTACGCAGTTCAGTTCTGGCGACCATACTACAGAATGGATTTAAAATCCCTTGAAAGAATTCAGAGGAGAATGACAAGACTAATCCCGGGCAGGGAGCCTTAATTTGCACTCCCTCGAGTGAGGGGCGATAAGATCGAGGTGTATAAATGCAAGTCAGGGCTAAACTAAGGTGTTATAACAAATGTACTCAAACTAGCCATCCAGGAGGAAACTCATAGCAATGGTTTTAAATTAGACAAATTTAGATTTAGACATAAAATAGGTAAACATTGGTTTGGAAATAGAGTAGTTGATGAGTGGAGCAAGTTACCAAACATCATCATGAATTCGAAAACACTGGATAGCATCAAAGATACGTTAGATGGCTATATGAGTGATATGGGTTGGGTGTAAATGGGACTACACAGTATGGGTCAATAGACCCGCTCCAGTTTCCTGTATTCTTATGTTCTTATGCTAAATTCTATTCAAAATCACATGGAGAAGCACAATGCGATTAATGATTCCCAACATGCCTTCACAAGTGGGCGTTCATGTCTAACTAATCTACTAACATTCTTTTCATCTGTTTTCGAAATGAGTGGTTGAGAGGCACGATTATGTTGTGGTATACCTCGACTTTAGCAAAGCCTTCGAGAGAGTTCACCACAAAAGACTAATATGTAAATATGTAAAATGGAGGCTCATGGAATTGGAGGAAATATTCTAAAATGGATAAGGGCGTGTTTACAGGACAGGAAACACCGATTAAGCATTAACTGCACTAAATCCGATTGGGGTAACGTCACTAGTGGGTTACCCCAAGGCACAGTACTTGGACCATTTCTATTTATGATATACATAAACGACATAGATATAAGCGCAGACAGCAATATAAGTAAATTTGTTGATGACAATAAAATGGGGCGTGTAATTAAATCTGACGAGGACTCCGCAAAACTACAGGAAGATCTAAACAAATTTTTTGAATGGCCTGAATAATGGCAGTTGAAATTTGATGGGGACAAATGTAAAGTACTTGGTATAGGAGATGTAAACATAGAAACCACTTATCAGATGAACAACAACGTTATAGAGAAATCCGACGGTGAGAAAGATTTAGTAGTAATGATAAGTAGGATACTTAAGCCACGTAAACGATGTGTACTTGCTCGAAACAAGGCTAACAATGTAATGTGGTTCTTAAAACGGTGTGCCAGTTACAAGACTATCGAGGTTATCCTAAGACTAGAATATCTTACTCGTGTGAGACCTTACTTGCAATACGCAGTTTAGTTCTGGTCACCGTACTACAGAATCGATATAGAATCTCTAGAAAGAATTCAGATGGGAATGACAAGACTAATCCCGGGCATAAGGAACCTTGAGTACAGAGACAGGTTAAAGCATCTTAATTTACACTCGCTCGAGAGACGTAGAGTGAGGGGCTATATGATCGAGGTTTATAAATGGAAGTCAGGGCGAAACAAGGGTGATATAACAAAGGTACTCAAACCATCCAACCAGGAGCAAACTCGTACCAATTGTTTTAAATTAGACAAATTTAGATTTAGGGGTAAGATAAATAAACATTGGTTTGGAAATAGAGTAGTGGGTGAGTGAAACGAGTTACCAAACATAATCATTAACTGGAATAGGCTGGATATCTTCAAACATACAGTAGGTTGGATGGATATGTGAGCGATAGGGGTTAGGTGTAAACGGACCTGCCCAATATGGGTCAATAGATCTACTGCAGTTTCCTCCATTCTTCTGTTTTTATGTTATCTGATGTCATGTTGAATATCTTCATCGATGTCCGCGGTGGTGGATAGGTGGGAGGCAACGTACTGAAAGTGGATAACATGAGAGAGAGTACTACCGTTAACCTGGATGGATGGCGGAAGTGTGGTTGAACCAGGGACAGGCCCGCTGGAGTTTCCTCCATTCGTATGTTCCCATGTTCTTATCTCCGCTACCATATTTTCCACAACCACTCCCAGCCATCTCCACCATCATATCTTCCACAACAACCACTATCAACTATCTCCACCACCGTACAGTATATTCCACCACAATTACTACCAACCATCTCCACAATCAATGTCTACCACCCCCTCCCCCCCTCACCATCTTTCTTATCACCGGCATGACTACTCATCATTTCTACCAGCCCGATTATCACACTTTAATTCTACAACCAAAACCCTCTACCAAAATTTGCACTACCATTACCCAAACTCATAAGAACATAAGAACATAAGAAAATAAGGAGTCTGCAATAGGCCGGTTGGCCTGTGCATGGCAGCTCCTGTCGAGAGTTACTACCACTCTCTATCATCCATGAATCTATCTAGCCTCCTTTTGAAACTTTCCAGAGTTCCCGCACTTACTACAAAGTTGCTAAGCTTGTTCCACTCGTCCACCACCCTATTTGTGAACCAGTTTCTTCCTATCTCCCTCCTAAACCTAAACTTATCCAACTTGAATCCGTTGCTCCGAGTCCTATCCTGCTCGGATATTATAAGAACTTTATCTATATCCCCTTTATTGATTCCTTTCACCCACTTAAATACTTCTATCATATCTCCCCGCACTCTTCGTCTTTCTAGGGAATGCAAGTTAAGTTTCTTTAACCTATCCTGATATGGAAGGTTTCTAAGTCCCTGAATCATTTTTGTCATTCTTCGCTGCACCGACTCTAATGAATTTATATCCATTCTATAATAGGGGCACCAGAACTGAACCGCATAATCGAGGTGCGGCCTAACTAGCGCAAGATATAGTTGCAATAAGACCTCTGCACTCTTGTTACTTACACTTCTAGATATAAAACCCAATACTCTGTTTGCCTTATTTCGAACATTAACGCACTCTTTTCTAGGCCGTAGGTCCGGGCTTACAAGTACCCCTAGGTCTCTTTCACAAGTCGACTTCTCTAGGTTGATGTTGTTCAGGCTGTATACATTATAAGTATTTGTTCTTCCAATATTAAGTACGCTACCAACAACACCCCTTAACCATTCATCACCACCAACCACCATCTACATCACCAACCTTTTATTCCATCACTGGTATTTCTACCATCCCCACCGTCACCACCATCATTAATTCACCTCCTCCACCTCGCACTATCCCTACCAGAAACACTCTCTTCCCAACCACTACCAATACCCACCATTTACCTATGGAGGGTTGAAGTATTTCCATAAAAAATATTGGAACTGTTTTGTTAATGAATGAGTATTAAGTCTGTGACCAGAGAGTAATAGAAAAACTAAAGGGATCCAGAGAGACAGACAATGGGAGGACAGTTTTGTAAATAAGAACTGATGTAGAACTCTGTCAAATGTTTGGGAAATGGCAAGAGCTACTGCATGGGTTCCACCATTCGACCGCAAAATTATTTGTTATTTTCAAGATGTTTGAGAATCGGAATATTGATAATCATTTAAAAAATATTGTTGAGGTGAGGGAACTGGGCGATAATTTAAGGGTTCGTAGCTCTCACCGTTGAGGTTGGATTGGTTGCAAGATTTTTCAATGGAGAGAGGGCCACTGCTGTCCAAAGAGCTAATCTGAAGAGTTTGAGCAGAACAGAAAAAAGCTTAGAAGTACACTTTTTAGAACAAGCAGGGAATATCAGCTTGACCCAGAGCCAGCTTAGTTTCTAAGATATCCATGATTTTTTTCAAAAATATTTTAATTTATCTTTGCAGACCAAACTTTAGATCCTCTAGATCCAGATAAAGTATCATCCGCTCCTACTCCTGCAGGGCTCAGTTAGAGACCCCTCCCCCCCAAAAATAATAATAATAATGAATAAAAATAAATAAATATAAAATAAATAGTTTGTTCACCTGGGAATCAGAAATAATTGAATTGTCAGGTGAGTTGACAGAAGCAATGGATGGATGGCTACTCAAGTTGGAGCCGAATGCATGGAAGATAACCAGAAAAGTTGGCTGTTTTATTATTATTTTGTTATTGTTAAGGTGCTTAGGTTATATTTTACTTGTTGAGGTTGAATAAGATATATTAATAACTAATTTAGCTTTGTATCTTGTTTGTAGTTGCCAAGAGAGTGGATCTTTTTATTCTAGTGACCTTTTCCTCGACATTCACAGTTGCAGCACAGACACAACTTAACTATTTAGAGTGAGGAAATAAGATTTGTTAAAATGTTTTATACAGGTTGAAATCCATATTGATCGTCAGCAAAGAAGGACACCGCGGAAAAGAGAAATTAAAAATCCACTCCAGTTTGTCTGATCACAATGCCAGTGTTTGTCAAGGTTTAGAGATTACAAGGAAAACACAATAAAACTTTAAGTCTAACCTACCATATAGATTAGTCTAGTATACCAATCGATCATGAAGTAGTTATCAGCCTAGTGTCTCTAGACTATAAGTAACATTACTAACGTAATAGTTTTATAGTTTAAATTCAAGAAACAAGATTAATAAATTTATGAAAACACACAAATAAATATATTCCCAGTAACTGTTTAGTATGAGTTATTCAAGAAAATATTTATAAGGAGCAATAATAATACATGGTTGGTTTCTTACCTCTGATGCTCTCTTAGAATATTTGCCCATTGTTGTGGAATAACAATGAACACCACTGGCTCACTGTGTCCACCTTCAAAAACTCCTGTGTTAGAAAGATATAGAACACTAATCCTGTGTTAGTAAGATATAGAACAATACCCGAGTGTTAGTAAGATATAGAATAATACTGCTGAAGTTAGTAAGATATAGAACAACGCTTATGTGTTAGTAAGATATAAAACAATATCCCTTGTGTTAGTAAGATATAGAACAATCCCCGTGTATTAGTAAGATATATAGGCCTAACAATACTCCTGTGTTAGTAAGATATAGAACAATACCCGTGTATTAGTAAGATATATAGGCCTAACAATACTCCTGTGTTAGTTAGATATAGAACACTACTCCTGTGGTAGTAAGATATGTAACAATACTCCTGTGTTAGTAAGATATAGAACAATACCCGTGTATTAGTAAGATATATAGGCCTAACAATACTCCTGTGTTAGTTAGATATAGAACAATACTCCTGTGGTAGTAAGATATGTAACAATACTCCTGTGTTAGTAAGATATCGAACAATACCCGTGTATTAGTAAGATATATAGGCCTAACAATACTCCTGTGTTAGTAAGATATAGAACAATCCCCGTGTATTAGTAAGATATATAGGCCTAACAATACTCCTGTGTTAGTAGATATAGAACAATACCCGTGTATTAGTAAGATATATAGGCCTAACAATACTCCTGTGTTAGTTAGATATAGAACAATACCCGTGTATTAGTAAGATATATAGGCCTAACAATACTCCTGTGTTAGTAAGATATAGAACAATACCCGTGTATTAGTAAGATATATAGGCCTAACAATACTCCTGTGTTAGTAAGATATGTAACAATACTCCTGTGTTAGTAAGATATCGAACAATCCCCGTGTATTAGTAAGATATATAGGCCTAACAATACTCCTGTGTTAGTAAGATATAGAACAATCCCCGTGTATTAGTAAGATATATAGGCCTAACAATACTCCTGTGTTAGTAGATATAGAACAATACCCGTGTATTAGTAAGATATATAGGCCTAACAATACTCCTGTGTTAGTTAGATATAGAACAATACCCGTGTATTAGTAAGATATATAGGCCTAACAATACTCCTGTGTTAGTAAGATATAGAACAATACCCGTGTATTAGTAAGATATATAGGCCTAACAATACTCCTGTGTTAGTTAGATATAGAATAATACTCCTGTGGTAGTAAGATATGTAACAATACTCCTGTGTTAGTAAGATATCGAACAATACCCGTGTATTAGTAAGATATATAGGCCTAACAATACTCCTGTGTTAGTAAGATATAGAACAATACTCCTGTGTTAGTTAGATATAGAACAATACTCCTGTGTTAGTAAGATATAGAACAATACCCGTGTGTTAGTAAGATATAGAACAATACTCATGTGGTAGTAAGCTATATAACAATACTCCTGTGTTAGTAAGATATAGAACAATACCCGTGTATTAGTAAGATATATAGGCCTAACAATACTCCTGTGTTAGTTAGATATAGAACAATACGACTGTGTTAGTAAGATATATAACAATACCCGTGTGTTAGTAAGATATAGAACAAAACTCCTGTGTTAGTAAGATATAGAACAATACGACTGTGTTAGTAAGGTATATAACAATACTCCTGTGTTAGTTAGATATAGAACAACACTTATGTGTTAGTAGGATGTACCACAACACTCGCGGGTAAGTAAATTGTACCACAGCAGTCGAGGGTCAATAAGTTGTACCACAGCAGTCGTGGGTCAGTAAGTTGTACTGCAACAGTCGTGGTCAATAAATTATACCACAACTGTCGTGAGTCAGTATGCTGTACTGCAACAGTCGTTAGTCACTAAGTTGTACCACATCTGTCGATTGTTAGTAAATTGTACCACGACAGTCATGAGTGAGTAAGGTGTACCACAGCAGTCTTGAGTACCATACGTTGTATCACAACAGTCATGGGTTAGTAAGTTGTACTGTACCACAATAGTCGTGAGTCAGTAAGTTGTACCACAACAGTCGTGAGTCAGTAAGTTGTACCACAACAGTCGTGAGTCCGTAAGTTATTCCACAACAGTCGTGAGTCAGTAAACTGTACCACAACAGTCGTAAGTCAGTAAGTTGTAGAACAACAGTCGTGGATCAGGTCATAAGTTGCATGAGAACAGTTTTGGTCCAGTAAATTGTACCACAACAGTTGTGAGTCAGGTTTAACCACGGAGATATGTGTCACTTGGTAGTTTTACGCTTATTGTATTGTTAAACAACAGTTTTGCATTATTTTCATAACTTTTTCATTAGAAATAACCGCAAGGAACTGTACAATGATAACTGTTGATACACTACATAATGAACACTGACACACACAACCAGTTTACCATCACTGGTAGAGTAACTGTGTGGCTGGAGAAGCACTAAAAATATCACAGGAAGAGAGATATCTACTGTACATCTCGGGATTACCGGTATGACGAAACGTTGTGGTGTCTTAGGCTACGATGATTAAAACATTATTATTATTATTATTATTATTATTATTATTATTATTATTATTATTATTATTATTATTATTATTATTATTATTATTATTATTATTATTATTATTATTATTATTATTATTATTAGGGTTAGTATTAGTAGTATTATTATTATTATTATTATTATTATTATTATTATTACTACTACTACTAGTACTACTATTACTACTTTTTTTTTTATTAAAACGTGGCCTCCAGCCTCTCCCAATAGCCACACCTTCGCCACCATTTAATTACCTTAATATTAAATATCCTAGTACATAAGTAGCTATCCTATCTGTGTTAAATTAGTTGAGCCGCAGATCTATGCCGCATTTAGTGACAGTAGCCTCATAGTCAATATCTGCAGCAGTTGTCGGAGTTGGGGCGGAAGCTCTCGTTCCCCTGAGGCAGCGCAAAGCCGACCGAAGGAGAGAGAAAGACAGTCGACATCTCATCCAGGCTGTAACATAACTTCTGGGCTGCTGCTTCTGTTCGGAGATCACCTCCGCGAGTCTGGCGTAGAAACATCCTGCACTTGCTCCCATCCCACCAGAGGTTGTGAACACTCGAAGAGTGAAGCTGCCTTGATCAACGTTTTGAATTCCCTCGCCATATGCCCTTCTCTTGTCGTTCTCGTTCCTCCTATGTGCAGCATCGAGAGCTAGGTTACGGTGACATGCGACCATGGGATCAAAAATCCAGATGTCGAAGAAAGCTCGCTGTCCCCGCGTTCAGAATCCTCGAGCACTGACGTCCACACGGGCTTCGTTAGATGTGTTTGAAGTCCTGTGTTGGAAGATCTCACCATCCAATGGAAGGAGGGTCGGTTCTACCATGTCATCCCGGCAGATTTCCTTCAACATATTTGCTGTGAGATCCCTTACCTCGTCATGCCTCATGCATATGAAGCCCCCCTTCTGCCACACCATGGCGTGATCGCCATCATAGGAAGAGCCACACACGCATTGGGAGGGCAAACCTTCTACTGGCCGACCGTACCTTAGAGCAATGGCATCTGTAAATTCTTGTTTATTAAGACTGAAACCATTTGCCCTTATCGGTAACGTAATTAACCAGTTCGAGGCGCCCACCTCCTGTGCTATAGCTACTTTTTTTTTCAAATTTTCTGGTACCTGCAGCAATAGTTGCTGCAACTTATCATTTTGGCAGTGCTGTCGATCTGTCGTAATGGACCTACGAATCTTATTTACTGGATTTGTTAGTCCCATCCCTCCCAGTCTTGATGGAAGTGCAAGAAGTGCTCTTTCTGCTGGGGTTAAGTCAGGGTGTTTCACTAATTTGGGAATGAACATGACACTGATAGCTTCTTCCAGAGGGTGGAGGAGTGGTCCGATATCAGGGATAGTACGCATCAGGTAGTTCCAACGATGCTTGACTCCATGGGTGAATGCAGCAAAGGCAGCATGTGGCTCTGTGATAGTAATCTCAGACAGAGCTTGGATTTCACTAACCCACTCATTCACCTTTCCCGCTACGTACTCGGTCTTGAAGTCCGCAGTGCCAATTTCTGCGCCTAGATGTCTTTGGCCGTCCTTAGTTATTTTGACCTCACTTCCGCCAAAAACCTCCATTGCCCGTTCATAATGTTCTGGCTTCACGATGAGGAAGGACTTGCTGGCATTTGGGTGGTACCCTATTTGTGGACCTCGCGATGTTACCAAGTCCCACCACTTTTTGATGCCCTCCACTTTTCCTACTTCTGTAAGGTCATCAGCATATACCACTTGTTTGACCCCAGTTGTTTCAAATTTTATTTCTTGTTGGAGCACTGATAGGCCAATTGCATACATTGCCATTGCAACAGGGTCTCCCTGTGTTGTTCCCTCGGTTGACTGTAAGATGGTATCACCTCTTAGAGCCTTGTTGTTTACTACATAGAGGTCTGATGGATTCCTATATGAATTTTCAACATACATTGCAAAGCGTGGACACTTGATCTTGATGTTGTGCAGTGCAGCCTTGCGGTTAAATATGTTGAATGCGTTTGAAGCATCCACCAGGAGAACGGCCTCACAATCGCGTTGCTCAAATATCGTTCTCATGGCGTGAATGGCGGCCTCCCCGCCAGCCTGGTGGCCAGCAGACACTTGTAGGTTTCCTGCTGCTGCCCTGACATCATCCTTTACCACCTCCATTATGCATTTTCTGATGATCCGCCTCAGCCCTTCCCCCACCCCTATAGGCCTACATCCTGGTTTCTTTTCCAGAGGAATAAGGCGGCAGGCCGTCAGGGCCTGGAGGTGATGGCAGCAAGAGGATGCAAGCTTTCTTGCAAGGGTGGCAATGGCAGTGCAGAGATCGCTTGCTACAGGGCCAAACTTGTTTGTGCTGAGGATGACTCTCCAACCGTTTGCATCCAGACCTGAAGGGCCGGCTCCTCCTCGAGTCTTCAGTGCCTTTTTCCACACCATCTCTCCTGTTATTTTCTCGAACAGGACAGCGTTTGGTGGGATATCTACACCCTCGAACCTGATGCCTTCTTCGTCGCTTGCAGGGGGATGTTTCTCTTTCAGTAGTTTTAATGTCTCTCTGTTTATTGGCATCACCCCACCGGAGGATTCCTCTGTGAGAGATATTACCGCCAAAGACACTTTTCCCACACGCATTTTGTTTCCAAATTTTCTTGCCACGTCATCAGTGTTTTGCTTTCCGTCACCCGTAATTTTTAGTCTCTCCTGCACTGTTCTTGCTTCACATAGGAGATCATCAAGGGCCCCAGTCTGCCACATTGCCAATCTTCTCTTCATTGCTGCCACATTTTCTTTGTGCTTTGTCTTTGTGTGTGTCTTCTGACAAAATAGATGTGGTATTATTGCCAGTATTTGAAGAGCTAAAGAGGCAAGGAAGTGGTCCTGAGTATAATCAGTCATGAGGCGAGTCATCTCTCGAATCATTTCTTTGGTGGCCGCACACTTGGGTGGTTCAAATAAGTTAGCGGGCGACCACTTGACAATTTCTGAATAGGTTTCTTTGACCCATATGTCTGCATTTTCCATCGACATGCCATTCCACTGAGGTGGCTGTCTCTCATTCTCCTCATGGACATCTGCTACTAAGGGAGCAGCATTTATTAGTACTACATTTTCGGGTTGAAGACTCACTGCTATCATTTCTGATATCATCGGGTAGTTGGGTCCCTGCGATATCCACTGTGGCCACCTGTGTCGGCTCCCTGCGACGTGGGTTCCGACACTGGTCTCGCTTCTTGCAATCCACACATGGTCGGTTGTTTCTCGCATAAACACAATTTGTGCAGTTTTGGTTCGGGTTAGCACAGACGCAGCAATGATTGTTACCAGGCATTGTGAACAGCACCTTGCGGGCCAGTTACGTCCGCCTCCGAACATCTGATTTAGTCCCAGGCACAAGATAATACTGGTTCTTATGAGGGAAGGGCGGAGAGGTGACAGGCTGGACTGCTGTGTCCAGGTAGTAGGGGCATACGTGCATTAATTGACACTACTATCATTCAGGATATCATCGGGCGGTGGTGTCCGAACGATAACCACTGTATCCTCCTGTAACGGCTCCCTACCCTGGGTATTCCGACAGTTGATATCCTCCTTGCACCCCACACATCGGCGGTTGTTTCTCGCACATTCATAGCTTGTGCAATTTGGGTTCTGGCCAGAACAGATGCATCAAAAGTAGTTACCCAGGATAATGCTCCACACTTCGAGCAACAGGACTGTCTGCCACTAACATCTGCTTTGGTATCATTCGGAGGAAACTAATTCTTATTTATATAACTATGGAAGGAATAATCATAATTTCTATGATCACACTGATGTAAGTATAGTAATAAAGTCTTACTTGGTCGGGTGTGGAAGGTGGCTGGCACTTCCCAGGGTGTCTTCTTACATGTGGGTAGTGACAGCACGCATAGAATTGTTGGCCTTCTATCACTGGCCTCAGTGGCGGGAGTCGCCAGACTACACCTACTAAAGTAGGCCTAACCCACACATTTTTTTTTTTTTTTTTATTGGGCACCCCCCTACATCCTTGTGTAAGGTGAAGCGCAGAAGCGTTTACAGCGCCCAACAGGGAAGCATGCTAAGTTCATGCTTGCCCTTTTGTCTCACGAGTTAAGGGCGTAGAAGCCTGAAGAGTCACTGAGGCGACTTTCATAACCAACCGTCACCCCAAACACTTACAACTTGCCTGGTGATCGCTGGAACCCACACGGAAAAGTTGCCGCAAGGGATGAGAAGAATCTTCAGTGACAATGATTAGGGTGACGTCCGATATTCAGCGACGAGCTGTGAAATTCCAGGTTCCACCTACTGAGTATGTCCCCCTCCAAAATCGCGAAAGACCAGAGAGGACACACAATTATACTCACCCCATGCTACGACTACTACTACTACTTTTTTTAATGGCCACCAGCCTCCCCCAATAGCCATTCCTTCGCCGCCATTTTATTACCTTAATATTAAATATCCTAATACATAAGTAGCTATCCTAGCTGTGTTGAGTTAGTTGAGATGCAGATCTATGTGGCGCGGCATTCAGTGACTGTAGCCTCATAGTAAATATCTGCAACTGTTGTCGGCTTTGGGGCCGATGCTCTCGTTCCCCAGAGGCAGAGCAAGACCTCCAGCCTTCCTAATTAGTCACACTGTCGCCGCCATTATATTGTCTTAAATTTCAATATCCTGGTGTAAAAGCATTTAACCTATCTGTGTTGAGTTTATTAAATCGCATATATATATATATATATATATATATATATATATATATATATATATATATATATATATATATATATATATATATATATATATATATATATATATATATATATATATATATATATATTGTCGTTGGTGCGTAACTGACAAATGTGTTTAGAGTAAATGG